TTACCGGGAGCCTTCCTTTCGTTGCCCTCCTCGTCGGAATCTTCTTTGCCGCCTTTTTCAACGTCTATAACAACCGATATTACTTCAAGAAACTCCGTGAGAACAATGGCAAGCCCGTACCCGAAGCCCGACTGCCCCCGATGATGGTTGGCGGGTTGGTATTCACTGGAGGCTTGTTTCTCTTTGGATGTCAGTTCACGGACTTTCCTCGGTCTCGTTCCCCCACTGACCTAACTCAGGGACCTCCTCGCCCAAAATCAACTATTGGCCATCGCTAATCGGCATCGCATTCACCGGGTTTGGGTTCACCACCATATTTCAAAGCTCGATGAACTACCTGGTCGACACTTTCCTTCGCTTCAGCGCCAGCGCCATCGCAGCCACCACTCTACTGCGATCCATCCTGGCAGGGGCCTTCCCGCTTTTCGTGGAGCCGATGTTCCGCAACATTGGGGTAGACTGGGGCATCACGGTGTTTGGCTGCATAGCCGCGGTCTTGATTCCAGTTCCGTTTCTCTTCTTTGCGTGGGGACGGAGGATCCGTGCAAAGAGTCGGTGGAGCAGCCAGGGTGTATGATGTAGATCCTTAACCCATCCCTACCTCCCCCCGTTGCTTCTTCCGGTCTGCTACCTGGCCTGCGTGTATGATAAGGCGTCATCATCGAGAGTTGATGTAATTCATTCGCTTCGGTTCACCGCTCCGTGATCTCGGCAGAATGAGTCATCGTCATAAATAATTGTTGGGGGAGTTAACCTACACTAACTATCATTGTTGGGGCCAACCATCAAGTGCTTAGTCACAAGTCAGCCTGGATAGTTGGTTAGTTAGAGCCAACGGATTATAGTCATCTTCGTGAAACCACTACACTACGAAAAGAGAAAGGGAAAAAATGGCTGTCGGTGGCTGTTTCTGCGGCAAGATTCGCATCGAATTTAACGGCCAGCCTCTGAAATCGGCTAGTACAGCCCAAGCAGGAAATCCAATGTTTATGAGTCCATCTATCCGGGAATCTTTTTTTTTCTATCAATAGGGACTATGCCACTGTCTCGATTGTCGCAAGCTGACGGGGGCACCCTATTCCTACAGCTATGTCATCAACAGTACCGAACTGAAAGTCTCGGGAAATCCGAAAGAAGTGGCCAAAACAGCGGATAGTGGAAATAAGATGAGGAATTATTTCTGTCCTGATTGTGGTCTGTACTCCATAGAATAAATCCGGATTTAGGGAAGATGATTGTGTCTCTGGCTGACAGAAATCATAGGCACGCCGCTTTTTGGACGGAAAATTCACTCGAATGGGGATTTTGATGAGATTACGATCGTCCGGGCGGGGATTTTTGATGATATCCAGATGTTGAATGAACAGAAACCCGAGGCGGAGTTGTATACTGATAGACGATTACAGTGGGTGAACCCCGTTGAGGGGGCTGAGCAATTTGGTGGCATGTTGGCGCTGTCATAATCTAATGATCGAGCTTGATATTTTGAGGCTCTTGCATGCTGTGAGCTGTGAGCTGTGAGTGGTAGATTACCACTGTAATGAACCGAATCTATCTTAATAGTACTATTGCACAGTACAATGTTCTCGTCGATCACTGTCCAAGGTGGCAATCATCGTGCTAGATAAGGAGGTTGATACATAGTACTTGTTCCATAGGTAGAGCCTTGTGGGGAAGGGATTTGTGGATCTTACCTATCACTGGTTGGGGTACATGTTGGAAGATGTAACCGGATGAAAAGTTGGTTATGTCACCGACGGGTGATGACGTTCCTCCCCTGGGGATGCCGATCGGATCCAACCTTATCCGCGGCGCTCATGAAGGCTCCCTCGCCCAGGCTAGTCGGCAGTGATCGCATCATTGCCGGTTCTCAGAACCCACCATTCCAAGGTACGTCATTGGAAACGTCCGGTTTCGCCTCGCCACGGCTTCTCCTCGTTCTCCTCGAAGATATTTCACTAGGGGTATATCCGCCTGGCTGGGCTGTCGCCATCTGTACATCATCTTCTTGATCCGTCACACGAAACCTCGGCTATAATGTCCACCGGTACCACGACGAGAAAGATTGTCTGCTTCTCAGGTAGGGAATCCCTGCGGATCACCCTCCACTGCGACAGCCGCTAATCCACGGCATACAGACTTCGACGGTACCATCCTAATGCAAGATTCGGGCCATGTCCTCTTCGACAACCTGGGATGTGGCGCCAAGCGCCGCCAACTCCTCGACCAGCAGATCAAATCCGGCGAGCGCTCATTCCGAGAAGTCTCCGAGGAGATGTGGGGGTCACTACGGGTTCCCTTCGAGGATGGCTTCGACCTGATGGAGGAGCAGCTGGACATTGATCCGGGATTCCAGGAATTTCACAAATTCTGCATTGAGAACGGCATTGTCTTCAATGTCATCAGTGCAGGGCTGAAGCCGGTCTTGCGCAAAGTGCTGGACACTTTCCTCGGGGAGCAAGAGGTACAGTAATATCTCTCGTGGGGAGAATCCACTCACCGGTGGCCAGTCACTGATTGTTTCTTCATAGGCTTCGCACATTGAAATCGTCGCCAACGATGCGGAAATCAAATCCGACGGGTCGGAATGGAAGCCAATTTGGAGACACGAAACGGAACTGGGCCATGATAAGGCGCTGTCCATTCAGGAGGGCCGTGCACAAGCAGCCGAAGAAGCCTTGGAGGGCGAGATTCCCCTGATTATCTTCATCGGCGACGGTGTGTCGGACCTCCCAGCTGCCCGCGAAGCGGATGTCCTCTTCGCGCGCAAGGGACTGCGGCTGGAGCAATATTGCATTGAGCACAAGATCCCCTACATTGGCTTTGACTCGTTTTCCGATGTCAAGCGGGAAGTACAGGCCATCATGAAGGAGGATCAGCAGAAGACCGGGGGCGTGGGCAAACCCGCCCGATTCAACCCCCGGGCCAATATGTGGCGGCGGATTTCAAGCAGGCAGGCTGTAAGTCGATAGTTCGGTGCCGCAGATACGCCCACCCCCAGAGCTGACGTGGTCGTCCCAGGTTCCAAAATTTGTCGCGGCGACGCCATCAAAGGAGGACAAGATTTTCCTCTGGCCAGAGAGCTTTTCCAAATACCAACCCAGGGGTGCGTCGGAGAATATTGCGGCGTGAAAGACGGGGTAATGAGGTATGGATGACTCATTTTCAGGCGTTTGGGGGAGCGAGCTGGATACATAAATTTAGATGGTTTCAATTAATGTATAAGGTTTCCAGATGACTTCTTGTGTCTGCAGCGTTGAGTCCATCACAGAGAAGGGAAACCGACGCGAGGCTGGGGGCCAACCGGGCAACTCTTCGGTTTTCCCTTGGCTCCACATCCAAGGTTCAGAACTTAGGCAACTGCCAAAGGCTGATAAGCCCCCAAAGAGGAACCCCTCGCGGGGACCATGTCAAAGAACTGTATAAATTCCTCATCCTTCACTTGCCTCCCCTTCCAACCCATCCACATTTCCTCGGTATCAGTTCTTGACTCCCCAAGGAGCCTCCTTTACAAGGCACTCCCCCTTGAACAACTTCTATGGATACCCTCATCAAGGGCATCGCAGCCGGGGTCGGTCTCGCTTCGGAGAGTGTCTCGGCCTACAAGGCCAGCAGACAAGAGAAGAAGGCCCGGAGATCTACCGAAGCTGAAGAGCGCGCGCAACTTGTCGACGAGCAGCATGAACAGGACTGGGCACTCGACGAGGCACAGGACGGATTAACGGCCGACAGGCAGGCAGCCATCTCGGAACCTGCCAGTGGGGACATCGAAACCTTAGCGGACTCGTTCCTCCAAGGTTATCCCACTCTGCCCCCATACCCCCCCCCCGGCAGCAAGTGTACGCAGACTTCCCTATCCGGTGGTGCTTCCCCGGCGAAGGCCAGAGCTACGCATTCGGGGCTTTATCAGGGCCTATGCGCCGGTGCTTGAGGAACCATGTCAAGGGAAAGTGTCCTAAAATCCAGAAAGTATTGGTAAAGATGAAGCGCAAGAAACTAGTGAGGCGATCCTACTATTTACCGTGAAGTAGAGCGATCACAACGCTTCGGTATACTAGCTAAAGAGACGCCACTCTGCTTGAAATAATTATATACTGTCCCTCGGAGCGGATTTTCAATGTAAGGCATATGGCATATGGCATATAGTCAGAAGTCGGTACCCGAGGATAAGAATGCTGTACCTCGGGTTCTACCACAGGAAGTTCGTACAAAGAAAAGTAAGTATATGGAAAAGAAAAATGATATAATCAGGGACATAATCATATTTCAAATATAAAAAAGGAAATCTCCCCGACTGGGAGTCGAACCCAGGTCTCCCGCGCTTGTTCCCATTTGGGATTGACAAGCGGAAATCATGACCGTTAGACCATCGAGGATTAGTTATTTTTTCAGTTCAAAATTTTGTTATATGTTCCAAGCTGCATAAACTCGTTGCAGCTCTGCCATAGGCGTTCTTCTGTCTATTCACTTTGCCAGCTTCTTTTGGATGCGGAAGTTTTAGCTGCATTATTCCTTTCAGGAACTAACTGGATGCTTTCAATTTCGTGCCATGTCCAGTATGTGTTTTTGTGTCTTACTGCCTGATATACGGAGTAGGTTTCTTTCCTTCTGCTGTTGACTACTGATGTATATATTGTTGCTACCATCAGTTTATTCAGGTGGAACAGGTACAAGGACAGCACAGGATCGAAGGGTATATAGCAGACCCAACGAATATGAACGGAATGATATCTATCTGTGACATCAAGCGACCAGATTATATGAAGATAAAAAGCTGTCATGGTAGACAGGGAAACAGTATAGACTGTGACCGGATCACATGACTGAAGACTTAGTATTACCTAGGAAGGACCCCTCCAAGCCATATATAGCTTCATCGCTCAAACAATCAAATCGTACCATTGAGACCTCTTACCCCATTTCCTATATCTTTATCTACTGACAGGCAGCATATCCGGCCATAAGAGTATAGTTTCCCGGCTGATAAAAAAAAAGATGGTTGCCCCTGCGCGGATTCGAACCGCGACCCTCTCCTAAGAATACTATCCGATAAGAATAAGTGGAGCACTCTACCACTGAGCTACAGGGGCTGTTGTTACACTAACCAGAACCGGCTTTATTCAAGTGTCCTATTGGCTTAGATAACTCAACGGCCCACTTATTATACCCCACAGCTGCGATTCCCCATATCCTCTGCCTCAGGCCATTAATCCAAGTGAAGGCGTGTTGATTAGGTGCCGCACTGTTTCTCAACATGGCATTGATGCATCCTCATCCCCCCCCCCAACTCTATATTTCGCTCCCTGGATATTGATGTCCACCACAACGGGGTAGTATGACTTCTCAGGGCGCCGCCTCACTGGGACTACTGTTGCCTGCTCAAGTGCGGAAGTTTATAGATGTAGCCCATACGGCTAGTCCACCCCAATGACCAAGCTCACGCAACCTATTTCGTAGACATTCTCGCGGCATTGCGGGAAGTCCGTGACCGAGTAGCGCTACATCAACAACGCGAAATTATATACTAGGGATTTCAATGCACAAGGCTGCATAATGTCAGGGATCATTGGTCATCTACTCTGTACCCCTAGTCGCAGGTTAGTCAAGACCAACCGCAGTAGTTGTACATTGCAGGTCGGGATAGTAATTCTCAGGACGCGTATGTCTCAGCTTGGCTGGCATGGCTGGCATCATGAACCAACATTTCTGGACAGTTCCTGTATGCACTCAAGGCCTATCATCGCCAAGGTTTCGATTCACACATCATACGTCAGCCTGCATCCGCTGTCTCGGATATCTTCCGAATTTATGCGACCAATTTTTCCGAGCTGTCCAAGGGAGAAAGTGTCCAGAGGTAAAGATACTCGGCCCGCATGGCCTGCTTTGGATCGATCAAGAAAATAGGAGCAGCGGTCGGCTCTTCCCGCTTGTTGAGAGAACCATACAACCTGCGGCCCAATTTAGACCATACTCAAAGTTTGGTCTGACCACGGAACCACGACGGGTCAGGTACGTGCCTGCGATAATCTTGCAGGGAACCAAGGGCTGACGCGGCTGATTCAGGAACACTCGTTCATCAGGGGATCCCCAGGGTCCCGCCGGGGTTTTCCCTGCTCGGGGGGGCTTGGATGCGGAGTAACAAGGAGGGGAAGTGCACGGACAGTGTCACAGGCTCACAGCCTTGCCTGGGTGGATCTTTAGTCCCTGAGCCACCAACTGGACCAAGAATCTCAAAGTATAATGCAGCGGTAGCGTGAAAGGGTTGGCACATGGATGGTACCTGTGCCAATCGGCAGCTGCATGCAGTCAATGGGATGACTCGGCCCGGTCTTGATCAGTTGACGACCGCCTTCGATCTGACCTCTTCAGTCGATTGCCGACGGGGTACTGGCAACAGAGCCATAGCGACAAAACTTGTCGCATGAAGAGCCCGATTCAGTATGCCAAAGAGAACAATTTTCTTTTCCCGTAGACAGGATACTGAGGATACTGAGGAAACTTCGACGGATCAAACTCACTGGATTGTCTCAGAGAGGAATGGGTCAGATCGGCACATCGTACGATGGGAGAGGAGTCCTAAATCTGGTCGGCCGGGGAATTCTGGGGTTAACCGTCGGGATTATTTCGGTAAGATAGAAGCCAAGTCAAGGAATGGGTAGTGACGGTTAAAAACGTGGGGGATGGAGAATCGAGGCTGGAGGGGTGGACAAGCCGGAGGTGGGAGGACCCAAGACATTTCCCCCCTCATCCTCTCTCTTTCTCCCGTTCCACTCTTCCACCATTTCCTATCCACTCAGTTCTGACTGCGAAGGCCCACCCTCATCTTGTCTCTGGAGTTCAATTGTTCGGTTAATTTCCCCAAACCCGATTATAAAGGCGTCGAATGCGTCCGTTGAGACAATGGCATCAATACCGGCTTTCTCGAGTGAGCCTGCAACATGGTGGCTTTCTCGACCCTTTCGGGCATCAGTGCCCTCCCATTGCTGCTCTCCCTAGTCCAGCATGCCCACGGTATCTCGTTGGAGGTCTCCACCGAGGGGGGCAACTCATCCAGCTCGCTACTATATGGGTTCATGTTTGAGGTATGCGCATGCCACGGCGGTGTGAACCATGGGGCTTCTATTGATTGACATTTGGCTAGGATATCAACCACTCAGGAGATGGCGGTATTTACGGCCAGATGCTGCAGAACCCTGGTCTTCAGGGAACAACGCCTAATCTGACTGCCTGGGCCCCTGTCGGTGACGCCACTATTGCCATCGACGGCAACAACCCTCTGACCGCGGCCATTCCTAGCACTATAAAGCTGGAGGTCTCGGAAAATGCCACCGGTGCAGTTGGGCTCACCAACGAGGGATACTGGGGTATCCCGGTTGACGGGACCGAATCCCAGAGTTCTTTCTGGATCAAGGGTGATTACTCCGGCAACATCACTATTCGGCTGGTTGGAAATTACACTGGCATAGAGTACGGATCCACGACCTTTACACATACGTCTACCGCACACAACTTTACCCAGGCCACCGCCAAGTTCCCTACGACCAAGGCTCCCGATGGTAACGTTCTGTACGAGCTCACGGTCGACGGTAGCGTGGCCGCTGGCTCCTCGTTGAATTTCGGGTACTTGACGCTTTTCGGGGAGACGTACAAGTCAAGGTTAGTTCCACAAGTACCATTTGAAAAGTGATAGGTATTAATCGTGTAGAGAAAATGGGCTGAAGCCCCAGATCGCCAAAGTTTTGGCCGATGTTAAAGGATCCTTCCTGCGATTCCCCGGCGGCAATAATATGTAAGTCCTGGCCCGTGCTCCGTAGATCAGGAGCTTATTAGGAACAGCGAGGGATACAGCCCAGAAAATCGCTGGAAGTGGAACGAGACCATTGGTTCTCTTGAAGATCGTCCCGGACGTCAAGGTACGCTTGTCTTCTAGAAGGCAGTACCGTTCGCTAATGAGATATAGGCACCTGGACTTATTATAATACCGATGGACTGGGTAAGGATAAAAATCCCGATATGCAGAACCTCACTCTAACATATCCAGGTCTTGCCGAATACTTTTATTGGTGTGAAGATTTGGGACTTGCACCGGTGCTAGGTGTCTGGGATGGATTCGCTCTTGAGTCGAGTGGCGGCACTCCCCTGACGGGCGATGCGCTGACCCCCTACGTCGATGATGTCTTGAATGAACTCGAGGTATGTCGAATACTAACCATGAGGAACTGCAGCTAACCGAGTCTAGTACATCTTGGGTGATACGAGCACCACCTATGGCGCATTGCGCGCCGCGCACGGACAGGAGGAGCCCTGGAATCTCACCATGGTTGAGATTGGCAACGAGGACCACCTGGGTGGAGGCTGCGATTCCTACACGGAGCGCTTCATCAAATTTTACGATGCGATTCACGCTGCCTACCCCGGCCTCATCATTATTGCCAGCACTAGTGAGGCGGATTGCTTGCCCGACTCGATGCCCGAGGGAAGCTGGGTGGATTACCACGACTACAACACTGCCGATGGACTTGTCGACCAATTCAACTACTTCGACAATCTCAACCGCTCTGTCCCATACTTCATTGGGGAGTATTCTCGGTGGGAGATTGACTGGCCCAACATGCAGGGCTCGGTTGCCGAGGCTGTGTTCATGATTGGGTTCGAGAGGAACAGTGATCTGGTTAAGATGGCAGCTTATGCTCCCTTGCTTCAGCTGGTGAATTCGACTCAGTGGGTGGTAAGTCACTTGAGAGGTGTTGGATCCCACGGCGATGATGAGCTGACCTGTTGTAGCCGGACCTTATTGGATTCACGCAGTCGCCCGACATGACCTTTCTGTCGACCAGTTACTACGTCCAGGAGATGTTCTCAACCAACCGCGGTGATACCATCAAGGAGGTTACCTCCGACTCGGACTTTGGGCCCGTGTATTGGGTTGCTTCGAGCGCTGGGGACGCGTACCATGTGAAACTGGCCAACTACGGCTCCGACACGGAGAACCTGACCGTGACCATCTCGGGAACGACGACTGGAAAACTGACCATTCTTGCGGACAGTGATCCCGAGGCGTACAACTCGGACATGCAGACGCTGGTCACGCCGTCCAAGTCTACCGTGCAGGCCAGCAATGGTACATTTACGTTCAGCCTGCCCCCCTGGGCCGTGGCCGTGCTTGCTACGAATTAGCGTTGAGTATGGGTTATGTTGATGGATTTGATGTACTGTTGGCTATCAGATATTGTGAATAAATGTATTGCTTTGGCTCTCGCAGAATCCGGTTGAAAGGATCTGATATCGTGCAGTCCGTACTCGTCAACAGCGAGGGTATAGAGCCGATGCACCTCCTGCCAATGGGAGCGAACGCCACCACACGTGGGGAGAGTCCGGGTTAAAATCAGGAATCTGGCACGTACTGGTACATAGTACACAGTAGTGCGCGTGGTGCGGGCGGGGATCATCCTTTTTCTTCTGGTTGTCATTGGATCCTCAACAAGAAACGAAAATTTTTCCAGCAGGTCGAGCATTTCTGGTACGTACAAAGTGGTAGCTCCAACGGCAGTGGCCCCACCAGCAAGGCACGCGAAGGGAAAAATTGGCCGCCAAGTTGACAGACGACGGCCGTGCACGTTTTCGGGAGGCTTCCGCCTGCAGCTCCCCACTGCTATCAACATTCAACACTGCCCTTACGGAGGAGTGAGTACCGCATTGGCGATCGAGATGGAATTTTCTAGGTCTTGGTTGAATGGAGCAGTCCGCCCGCCGCAGCGCGTTGATTCGGTCTGGATTCCAGGGAGCGAGGGACAATACGGAGTACTGTGTACTAAGGTACCTATATCGCCGCCCGGTCGGGGAAGCAGATGGCCAGCGGCGCGGCGATTCGCTGCGGCGGCCCACTCCGATAAGTCGATATCGAGGTTTTCCCCGTTAGCCTGGCGCGGTCTGGCCTCGTCCTGCTTTAAATTCCCCTCAGCCCAGCGGCCGGCTCCTGCTCTCTCTCTCTCTCTTTTTTTTTTTTTTTTTTTTTTTTTCCCTTCTTTGCGCCCCTTGGTCCTAGCAGTGAGCGACTTCGGAGCTTTGCGCTCACATTTGCTGGCGAAAA